TAGTGATCGTGAGCATTTCTTCATATGTTTGTTGGCTGCCCTGATCTCTTCCTTACTGAAGTGTCTGTTCATATCCTGTGCCCACTTTTTAATTGGATAAGTGGATGTTTTTTAACCAACAAATGTACTCTCACAGTTTGTTGTTGTTAAGTGCCGTCAAGTCAGTTCCGACCCGTAGCGACACTGAACAGGGTTTCCGAGGCTGTAAATCTTTACGGGAGCAGAAACCCTCATCTTTCTCCCACGGACCAGCTGGTAGTTTTAAACTGCTGACCTTGCGGTTCACAGCCCAATTCGTAACCACTACGCTACCAGAGCTCCTCACAGTTTAGGAGGCTAGAAGTCCAAATTCAGAGTTTCAGTTCCATGGGAAAGCTTTCTCTCTAAGTTGACTCTGGAGAAAGATCCTGGTTTCCTTTCAGCAGCTGAATGTCCTTCTCCATGCATATTGGCATCAGTCTTCCTAGGAGCTTCCTAGGATCTAGGGGTTACACCTTGCAGGGACCTCAGGTCTAAAGGACACACTTCACTCCCAGCTCCACTTTGTTGGTGCTAGTAGATTCCCCCTGAGCTCCTCTTGCTTGTGTAATCTCTTTTATATCTCAAAAGAGATGGACTCAAAACACAACCTAATCCTGTACATTGCATCCAGCCTCATTAACATCAGAAGAGTGAGGATTTACAACACAGACTATTTGTAACAGGTCAGGGCTGATCACAGCAGATGACAGTGGGGGCAGCTATTACATCATTACGTAACTGCCAATCCACTGAGCCTCCTGGCCCAGCCATGACCAAGGGGAATGTTTAAGCGAGAAGGTATGGTTGTACATATTGGAACAATCATTCTGGGTAACTTGAGGAGAGAGATTTGGAAGGAGGTCACATAGCAGCTTGGGATGCCAATCAAGAGGCAGTTTGACACTAGCCCACTGCTTACAACAATCTAATATCTTGGTTGAACTGGAATGGACAGCTGGGACTGGCTGCGTTTGTCTGTTTCCCTCATGGCTTCCAGTTGGTTCATTCCAGTCCAGCCCCCTACTGAGAATGTTTATTTTTACCCCAGGTTTTCTAAATCAACTCAGAAACCCTATACTGGGTTGCTATGAGTCAGAACCCACTTAATAACAACAGTTCTGAATCAGAGCTACATTTTAACAAGATCACCAGATGATTGTCAGAATCGCCATTTTAAGGTATATATAAGAGCCCCTGGGGACTCTTGTTAAAATGTAGATTCAGTATATCTGGATGGAAAGATGTGCTCAGCAGGGGTTTGAATCTAGGCGAACTGGCTCAAAGCCTGGTTTCTCCTAAACTGCTACTCTCACGTAGAAGTGCTCCCAGTCAAGATGAGCAGGATCTCATATAGTTTGGGAGCTTCAGATCCTGCAAGGCCCCCTCTGCCTTCCCCACTTGAACTGCAGGGTGTTGGCTCCAAAACCTAGACACGTAGCTACAAGGACAACTAGGAAAACGGAAGGATTCTTTATTTTGATGAGGGAGAGCCATGGCTAATTTATTCAGGGAGACAAAAATAAAGAAAAGTGGTCACCTTTTAGTAGAAGCCGTGGGTGCTGATGGCTAAAAAGGCATTTGTGGCTGCTCTAAACTAAGAAACTTTAGCAAAGCTTTCTCAGTGGAATCTTCCGCTCCAAACACTGGAAAGAACCAGGGCCTGAAGACGTGAACTATCTGTTCTGCCTGGCGATAACTGGGTAAACCTGTTGGCCCTGAGCTTCTGCCCCAGCTGGCTGTTTCTCAGTTGAAGGGGTGTGTGTCTAGTTGTAAGAAACTAGAGCTAGAATTGAGTTGTTTACTTTGAAACAACCTCAGCCAAAAATGTCTAGAAAATGTAACTTGTCTCTGAGGAAACCTGAGGGGAGTCATTGATTTGGTGGCCAAAGTTTTAGTCATGGGGATATGTCCCCCATAAACTGCAAAAGCAGAGGTTGGCAAGCTTGCTACAAAAGGCCAGATAGAAAATAATTTAAGCTCTGGGGGCCAAGAAACAAAACTGAGAATCTTAAGTAGGTATTTATAGCACCATTAAAAATGTAACTATTTAAAGATGTAAAAACCTCTAAGCTCTGGACCATGCAGCGCTAGGCAGAGGGCCAGATACGGCTTCAGACTAGAGTTAGCAAACTCCCGATCGTTGTTAACTGCTGTCAGGTTAACTCAAGTCATCCTCGTGGCTGACGGAACGAAACTCTGCGAGGTCCTGTGCCCTCCCCATGATCGGTTACAAATTGGGCTGTTGTAATCCATAGGGTTTTCACTGACTGCGTTTCTAAAGTAGATTATCAGGCCTTTATTGCTAGTCTTTCTTAGTGTGAAAACTCCTGTTCAGCATCATAGCAACATGCAACCTTCCACTGTGCATGAGGAGCCTGGGTCTCTTGCATGGAAGGCAGAACGTTCGACCACTAAACCACACACGCCTCTCAGCCCCTGATCGATGTTGTTAAGTGCCATCAAGTTGGTTCCAACTCATAGCGACCACCAACCTTGTAGTTCAGTGCTTATCCTACAATGCCTTTCCAGGACTCCAGCCCCTGGTTAGAGAACGGAATTCTCAACCAAGCAGCTTTCAGCTGTTATATTTCATAACCATGGGTATTATTATCATGAGGGGTTTAATTAAAAGCAGAGAGTGGAAGAGATTTCGGGTTTGGGCTGTAGCTCTATCTAGGCCAGATAAGGCAACAGAGAGGTGAGAGGGGTAGCTTCCTACCCATAGTGGTTTGTTCTTTTGTATGTCTGAGGCAGGTCTGTTGGAGAGATATCACCAGGATGACAGCTAATCCCGGGGTCTGAACCTGTACAAGCCAATCTACCCTTTGCCTCTTCTGCTCACCCTCATTGTCCACAGAATTTCACAGCTACAAAAATACCAGTTCACCCTCTCCCTGTAAGACACTGGGCCAGCCTTTTAGCCACTGCTCTGTCTCCATTTGACTGTGTGACGTTGGCCCAATTACTTAACCTTTCTGAGCCTCTCTTTCTCATCTGTGAGATGAAAATATAATACGATTTGCCTCGGGAGTTTGTGAGGCTAAAGGAAAGGCTGTATGGGGTATGCATCTGACTACTGTGTTTGATAGCATTATTTTTTCCTTGGTGCGCCTTCAGCCATTGTTCAATGTTGTTTGCTTTGTTCTGTCCTTCCTTTTTTAAGGCTGGAATGGAAGATAGCCCCCAATCATTGGGCAGGCAGAAGGGAACAGAGGCCTTGGATCCAGAAAATACCAGGAAAAAGAAGGTAGTTTGTCCAGATGCCAGCAGTTTAGCCACATCTGCACAACAGTCATTGGGGACCATGTCTTAGGAGTCCCCATTCTGCTTAGTGATGACCCACGGAGTGGACTGTGTCCGAGACCCACAGTGGCTCCATCAATGGGCCAATCCTCCCAGCATTTCTTGAGGGAATAACTTTTACCTAGGAGCTTCACAGTTTTTACTGAGGCAGACTTTGCCCACATGCCTGGACTCTGCCTCATACACTGTGAACTTGACTGTGCCTCGTAAGATAAAACATGGACTCAAAAAAGACCCAGGCTTCAGAGCCAGGCTCCCGAAATAGACCAGCAGTTCCTTCGGGGACTTTGGGCTCTTGAGTGGGGGCCCTGACCTGGGCAGGCCCAGACCCTGGGATTAACAAGACATCCATTGTTCTTGTAAAGATTATTTTACTTAATTAAAATGAAAAACTCAGCTTTAGTCTTCCTGGGCTGGGACTGCCATAGAAAAAAAATAAATAAATGTCCTTGGGCCATGGCCAGCTTCGTGCCTTTCCGGTCAGGGGAGGCGGGAGAAATGGCTATCACCAGCAGGGAAGCTGATCTGTGAAATCTGTCTGCTGGGTCTGTAGGTTGCTGGGGACATCAAGGGGAAAGTTTCAGGAGGGGCCAAGTCTGCTCCATGACTATGGAAGTTGCACCCTTGCTGAAAGAGGGTACTTGAGAGATCACAACCTGATTTATCTAGAGTTTATAGCTTAATCATTCATTCATTCAAAAACTATTTGTTGAACATTTACAATGTGCTGGGAGTTGAAATTCTTTGAGTGACTTTAAACATGATGGATTAAGCATTAAGAGCTTATTCTAAATCCTGTGTGGTTTTGAGCATCAGACTAAGGCTGAGTCAGTGATGTTGGACTTCTGTGGTTTATAGCTACTAACTACCCAGTAATTGCTCCCAGCTAGAAGAATGTTCGGGATCTCTCTGCTTTGAAGGGTCCTAGTGGTCAAGATTTGCATGCACCCTCTGGGTGAATAGCAGAACTCATTCCTAATCATCCCCTGACCGCCTTTCTGCATTTGTGTACAGGAACAAGATTGTGACAGTGAAAGTGAGGCAGAGGGGGAGAGCTGGTATCCCACCAACATGGAGGAGCTGGTCACTGTAGATGAGGTGGGGGAAGAAGATTTTATCATGGAACCGGACATCCCAGAGCTGGAAGAAATTGTGCTCATTGACCAGAGAGACAAACCCTGCCCAGAAACATGCCCTGGTGGGACAGACACCTTAGACCTGGACTTGGCCAAGGAAGGAGTCAAGAGTATGGATACTGGGGCTCCAGAAATCAACATCAAGTCAGTCAAAGAACTGCCTTCTGTTTCCGGGAGCTGCCCGGGTGACATGGACGTGGAAACACTAGGCCTAAATCGGGATGCTGAGCGGAAGCCAGCTGAATTTGAAACAGGCCACTCACTGACGGCTTCAGATTGCTACGAGAAGGAGGCCACGGGAGCAGACGCAGAGGTTCGTCCGGACCCTGCAGTCCAGCAAATGTCTTCCCCCAAGCCAGCAGAGGAGAGGGCCCAGCAGCCTAGCCCAGCTCTCGATGACATGGCCAGGGAGACCCCCGAAGATGGGGCTTGTGAAGGCAGCGCTCTGGAGGAGAAAGCCAGCCCTGCCACTGAAAACGACCTCCAAAGCCAGGCTTGCCAAGGAGGAGTGACCCAGGGTAACTACCTCCCTTTTCTCATATACGGTTGGGTTGATCAAGACCACTGCTCACCTAAAGCATACGGGCATGTGCAGGCTGAAACGGATACCAGTAAGGTTTCCACAGCATTTCAGCCAGTGCAGAAAGAAACTTAGAGGCAATCTTCTAAGAGCCCGGCAAAACCGTTAGAGCATTTAGGGCAGGGGTGGGGAACGTCCATCTCACAGGCCATATAAGGCCCTCAAAATCATTTGGTCTGGCCCTGCCAAGGCAGCAACATTTCCAGCCATCACATTGTCATTGTTGTTGTTAAGTGCCATCGAGTCAGTTCCAACTCACAGCCACCCCATATAGTGTTTCCAAGGAGCGGCTGGGGAGTTTGAACCGCCTATCTTGTGGTTCAAGTTGACCTTTTGGTCCAGTGCTTTATCACACAGCACCACACACGTTGTTGTTGTTGTGATGTGCCGTGGAGTCAGTTCCAACTCATAGTGACCCTGTACAGGGTTTCCAAGGCTTTAAATCTTTACAGAAGCAGAAAGCCTCATCTTTCTCCCACGGAACTGTTGGTAGTTTCGAACTGCTGACCCTAAGGTTAGCAGCCTGATTCATAACCACTACGCTACCGGAGCTCCATTTGTTGTTAAGTGCCATCGAGTCGGTTCCGACCCATAGCGACCCTGTACAGGGTTTCTGAGGGTGTAAATCTTTACGGGAGTAGAAAGCCTCATCTTTCTCCCACAGAGCGGCTGGTAGTTTCGAACCGCTGACCTTAAGGTTCGCAGCCCGATTCGTAACCACTACGCTACCAGAGCTCCATTAGGGTTGAGTTAATTAAATGTTTGACCAAATATAGCAGACTAATTTTTAAGTTGATAATTTTGTATGGCCCACAATTGATATTGTAAATTTTGGCAGAAAAAGGGTTCGCCACCCCGATTTGGTGTGTCCTGGTATGGCGCTATGGGCTAATGCGCTGGATTGCAAAGTTGGTTTGAACCACAAGGTTACTGACTCAAGCTCACCAGCTGCTCCTTGGAAACCCTATACAGAGTTGTTATGAGTCGGAACCAGCTCGACGGCACTTAACAACAACAACCTCTACTTTAGGAGAATGATATAAAGGAAATCAGCCAGGAAGCTGAAAATTTTCAGACATAAACTTAGATAGGACAGTGTTGTTAGAATTTATGGGAGACCACAGAGATTCTGACAACCTAAGTGAACTTGAGTTGTCAGCAAAATGAGTGGGATCAGTCAGCAGGTTCTCATGTCTGAAGGTTGAAGACCACCCAGACGTATTTTGTGAGGCCTGAGGCATGGAACTGGAGTGTGCGAGGACCAAGGATGAGGGGTTCCCAAAGGAGGGTTCCCCATTCTACTACCTCAGACCCATTGATCTCCAGGGTCTGGCAGTGAATCGTGTCCTGGGATCTCCTCTGCCTCCCTCAGAGGTGATGTTGTGTCCAGGCCCGACACTATGACATCATGAAAGAGAGTTTAAAATAGACTAAGCCAGGTCTTATCTGCCAAATGGAGAGTCAGATCCATCCAGGGTTACGGGAGGGGGAAGGCGCAGGGAAGGAACACTAGTAGTCTTTATTATTCTCACTTAGAAAACACTTCGAGATTTATTCTAAGGAAAACCTGCAGTGTGTACCAGAGACTAAAAGAAAGGGGACAAGAGGCAGTTGGCAGAAAATTGAGGGGCATGTCTTCAATAAGAAATACAGTGCTCTGTGGTGGTCAGAGGCTAGGGTTTTCTCCAGTAACTCTGATCTTGGAGCTGTTTTTTTCACCTGTGTGAATCTGGGTCTCCATGGAAACTGAGCCATGAACTGCCTTCTGGTTGCTAGAGAAACCCAGAGGCCCGGGCTGGTTCTGTGGAAGGCAGGAGAAAGGAGGAACTAAACTGTCACCTTGCCCTGATTGAACCCCCTTTGATTTTGTCATTTTAGTCTCAACACACATTGATGTGAGTGGCTTGTTGACCTTACCCAGTGTTTGGCATTCACAGTTAATGATACTGCTTGACAAGCTTGGGGTCGAATGGCACTGCCTCACCAGCCTCCGTATTCCCAAGATGTCAGCACAGTTTTTGTACTTTCAGAATGGTTCTGGCTGCAGGGATGACATGCTACTGACTTGAGGGTGTGGGGTGGATCATCCCAATGGAAGCTATCCAAATCCATTCCCCCTGGACTGAATGCACTAATTTGCCAAGTTTTACTCGGTGTGGCATCCTTTCAGCAGTGGAAAACGCCTCATTGTGGTGCTTTGGCTCTAATTAGTAGTGATTTTCCTAGTTTCATGTTATTAAGCAGCCCAAGTGATAATCTTGAACTCATGGTAGTATAGGGATCCGAATTGCAGGATTTCTTTGAGGCATACTGTGTTCCTTTAGTTCTTTGCCTTGGCTCCTGTTTTTCAGAAAACTCCAGGTACATGGAAATGAAATCCCTGGACACAAGGTCACCAGAATACACTGAAGTGGAGCTGAAACAGCCCCTTTCTCTGCCTTCCTGGGAACCAGAGGATGTGTTCAGTGAACTTAGCATTCCTCTAGGTAAGTGAAATCCACCACTCTTCCTGAGAATTCAGCTTCAGAAAATGGTGGTTCTATAGCAACATCTAAGCATGAGTCGACTTTTTGTCATTTGCCATTATTGTTGTCGCTTTTCATATCTGATGCAATAACTTACATTTGCAAGGTGCTGCAATTTCAGTCTCCCTTGAAAGACCAGATGCCCCATGTGGCCAGACCTTTAGAGAACACCACGGCCCTGGAACCCAGAGCTAAGAGGATCTTGCTCTCCTGTCTGGGGAGGCTGTTTTCCTGGCCACACTGAGCCTCTAAGCTCAGCCCCTATTCAAGCCAGAAAGCAGAGGCCTCATGGCCTCCACAAAGTCAACAGAAAGAGAAACAAACCTCTTCTGCTGTTGTCTTCCTCCCATCGTTGCCATTGTCCTGCCGTAAACAATACCTCATTCTTCCTCTTTGAGAATCCAGCTTCTCTGAGCTAGTAGTGATGGTGAGTAGACTGTGTCTGGGGAGACCCTATGTAGTTGACACAGGGAGCTTTGGACAGACAGATACCAGATCTGTACTCTTCTGTCTTCATTTACTGGGTGATTGTCCCCTCAGGTAAGTCAGTTTCCCAATCCACCATCTGGAATTGGGTCAACTTGGTGGTTTTCAGCAGGGTGGTGATGCAGGGTGATAGTATTAGAATCAGAGAGGGCTCCTCTTCAAACAGGGGAGTTTAGCCAAAATCTCAGGGTTGGGTAGTTTGGGGAAGTCTCCCAGGAGATTCAGACACCACCACTCTGCCCTCATCCCCACAACTCCCAATGAAACCCCCCCCATCTTTGAGTCTGTATTAATTGTAAAAGACAAAGCAGGGAGACAAAAGAGAATAGAGCTGCTCAGCAGGAGGGAATTGGGTCTGGGTGGGAAAGTGTGACAAGAAAGAGCAGGTAACGTAGTTAGATGATGGCTGATACCCTCCTATAGGGAAGGGGCCAGTCATCTTCTCCCCCAAAGTTTCTGTTTTCCTCTCTTCTCCTTTAAAAATACTCTTATTATTTCTTTCCTCTAAATGTGCCATTTTTATGAAGTTAGATTTGAGAGCAAACTTCCTTCTTTTGTTTCTTAAGGAGCAAATTAGCACAACATCCATCCCTTAGGACAAAAAAAAAAAAAAAAAGGAACAAATGCTGACCTTTGAATGAACTGAGATGACTGTAGTGAATGTTTTTTATTTGGTTCTGTTTTATTAAGATAAAATTGACATTCTAAAGGGTTCATAGGCAATGAGTACATTCACGATGTTGCAAAACCTCAATCTAGCTCCAATACCTTTTCATCAATCCAGGGGCAAACCCAGCACTCTTTAGGCAGTTGTTTCTAGTTCCCCACTTCCCCCTGCCCCTGACAGCCACTAGTCTGCTTTCTCTCTCTATGGATTTGTCTGTTCTGGATCTTTTCATCTCAGTGGAATGACATAATCTGTAGTCTTTTGTGTTTGGCTTCACTTGTTGCTCTTAAGTGCTTTTGAGTCATTCTGACCCATAGTGAGGCTGTATAAGGTTTCCAAGGAGCAGCTGGTAGGTTTGAACCGGCAGCCTTGTGGTTCACAGTCCAGTGCTTATCCTATAGCACCGCACCAGGACTCCACTTAGCATCACATTTTTATGTTTTCTCCTCACTGTACCATGCTTCAGTACTTCATTCTGTTGGGTGTTTTAACCCCAAAAGACAGTTGCAAAGGCTGACTTTCAGAAGAAAGCTGTGACACGTGGTTCAGTCATGCAGTCAGGAAATATTTACTAGAGAACATGGCAATGTGCTGGGAACTTTGGGGAAACCAAGAAATGGAACACGAGTCTCTTATCATCCAAGAACTTGGCATTTAATTGAGATATACAAGCAAAAATTCAGAATAAATTCTGCTACCTTGTAATTGGTTGGTGGTGGCTGTGTACCATGGAGTTGGTTATAAGAGCAGAAAACCTCATCTTTCTCCCGAGGAATAACTGGTAGATTTGAACTGCTGACCTTTCGGTAAGCAGCCCAACAGGTCACCCGCTATGTCACCAGAGCGCCTTACCTCATAATTAATGCCCTTTTTGTTCATTTATTTGTTTTTATTGTGAAAAGTATGAAAGATAGAGGCAAAAATTTATTAGTGAGTACCAGAGGCTGGGGAAGGGAGATATTGCCTAAGGAGGACTGAGTTTCAGTTTGGAGTGATGACAAATTTTGGGAACTAGAATAGTGGTATAGTGGTGAAGGCTGCACAACATGATGAATGTAATTAACTCCACTTAGAAATGGTGAAAGTGGCAATTTTTTGTTACATATATTTTATCAGATTACCTTTTTTTAAAATTGAAAAGATTATTTTAACTAAACGAAAACTATATGAAGTGAATGTTCACAGTTTTATCTCTTCCCTCCTGTCTCTCCCCAGCTTCACATGCTGGGTAATTTCCTCCCATAAAAACAAGATCACACTGTACACACAATGTTCTGCAATTTGCTTTTTTCACCTAACATGGCTCTTAGAGATCTTTTCATGCTGGAACATTCTCACCATTCCATGTTAAAGATGTACCAGACACTGCTAATTCATTTCTGTACTGATGAATATTTCAGTTGTTTGAAGTTTGTTTATTTTGTTTTTTGCCATTATAAAAATGCTATAATAGCCAAGTTTTCATTTTTATCATTTACCATATGACATTCTTGTCTTGTTGAATCTTCTCAAAGACCTCTATAAATTAAGTCATATTTTTATTCCTATTTTACAGGTTAGAAACCTGAGATGCATGGTCACAAGGCTAAAGCTTGGCAAAGACTAGAGTCAAGCTGCAAACTCGAGTCATGTGACTAGAGCCATGTTCTTAACTTCTGTGCTCTGCTACCTCCAAGGAGTTGTAGGGTCATATGTATTTGCATTTTAAATTTCATGATTGCTACTAAATTACGTTCCAAAAATTATACCAGTTCTCACTACCACTTTGTATAAAAATTCCCATTTCTCCATGCCCCTGCCAGCCCTGAATGTTATAGTTCTTTAATCTTCGCCAGTCTGTTAGCAGGAATATGGTATCTTTAATAAAAAGTTCTGAGGTATAAATGGGCAAACAAACAATTGAGCCTATCAAAAGTATATAATTTGGTTTGTTTTGACATTTCCACACCTTTGAGAATATCATCACATTCAAGTTAGTAAACATACCCATCACCCTCAAAAGTTTCTTCTTGCTCCTTTGTAATCTTCCCTTCTCCGTACCGCAGCCTACTGGCAACCACTGATCTGCTTTGTGTTACTAAATATTAGTGAGCATTATTGTTGTTGTTGTAAGGAGCTCTGGTAGCGTAGTGGTTACGAATCGGGCTGCGAACCTTAAGGTCAGCGGTTCGAAACTACCAGCCGCTCCGTGGGAGAAAGATGAGGCTTTCTACTCCCATAAAGATTTACACCCTCGGAAACCCTGTACAGGGTCACTATGGGTCGGAACCGACTTGACGGCACTTAACAACAACAACAACAATTGTTGTTGTACCGTCGAACCAGTTCCAACTCATAGCAACCCTATATAGGATTTCTGAGAAGTAGCTGGTATGGTATGTACTTTTTTGCCTCTTTGTTGTTAAGGGCCATTGAGTCGGTTTGGACGTGTAGCAATCCTGTATAGATTTTCCGAGGAGCAGCTAGTGGGTTTGAACCTTGTGGTTGGCAGTCCAGTGCTTATCCTGCAGTGCCACATCAGGACGCCACATAATTACTTTGGGATTTATTCATTCTGTGGGTGTACCAGGAGTTTGTTCCATTTTATTGTTGAGGACTATTGCAGTGTGGACATGGATGTACCACGTTTTGTTTATCCATTCACCTGTTCATGGACATTTGGGTTGTTTTCAGTTTGGGACTAGTATAAATTACACTTATTTACAGTCTTCAGTTAGCTTTGAAACCCATTGTCTTTTTGATTCCCTGAAGAAGGGCATGCTACTGTTCTCCACAGTTTACAGATGCAAATGAATCAGCAGCTGAGCCCCAGCGACTTCTTCAAGATCACACAGGAAGTCCAGGTCAGAATGCAGGATTTCTGATCCGAGTTTGCTCTGTCTACCTTTTTTTCCAGTTCAGGAGGCACAGTGTAAGAAAGGCTGCTTTGTGTAGTCCTGAAGATCACAGACTAGAATCTGCCCCGCTGGGTTCAAATCCCAACCCTCCTACCCGCTGACTAGGTGCCAGAAGACAAAGTCAGTTTCTTCTTCTGTGAACCAGGGATGATAATAGCTACCTACTTCTTAGAGTTATTTTGAGAATTAAATAAATGAATACTTGGTGCCTTCCAATATCCCACCCCAAAAAACAAAACAAAAACAAGAAAACTTTTGCCATCAAGTCAGTTCCAACTCAAGATGACCCATGTGTATCCGAATAGAATTGGGTTCCAGGGCACTTTCAAGGACTGTAATCTTTCAAATGTAGAATTTCAAGCTTTTTTCCAAAGTTCCTCTGGGTGGATTTGAACTTCCAACCTTTCAGTTGGTAACCAAATACTTAACCATTTGCACCACTCAGGGACTCCCAATGTCTACCAATTACCGTTGTAAAGTACAGTTGAATCGGTACCGAATCATAGCAACCCTCTTTAGGGTTTCTGAGAAGTGGTTGGTGGGTTTCAACTGCTTACATTGTTGTTAACAGTTCAGTGCTTATCCTACAGCACCATACCAGGCCCCTGACCAAGAGAAGATACTTAGTAAGGTTTGTCTATTGCTTTTACTTGGGGTCCTGTTATGGCATTGTAGGATCAACACTGGACTACAACACTGGACAAGGTTGGCAATTCAAATTCACCAGCTGCTCCTCCGAAATCCTACGGACTCGACAGCACTTAACAACACAACAACATTTGTGTTTGTTTGTTCATGAAATGTACTTATTGAGACCTACTGTGCTTCCTCTCCCTGTAGCTGCGTCCTCCATCTCCTTCCAGGATCAGTCACTGCTGCTGAGAGACTGCTAGAGTAGAAGAGCAGGAAGGGGAAACGAGGAATTCTGAGGACTGAGTGCACCGTTAGGAAGGAGGAAGGCCAGGTCTTGTTGTCCAGAGAAAGGCTATTGCTGGAGTGGACGTGGAACTGGGAAGGGTACACACCCACTCTGTGGGCCTGCCAAGGCCTCCTCTTCCCAGGACTGAGCACCATCACCTGCTAAACACGAGTTCCCCATTCATCCATCCTAGGTTTACTGGGACGATGGAGTTATAATTACCCTCACCCAGGAGCTATTATTAGAAGTCAAATGCAGCTTTAATTACCGTACTTAATAGAGTCTGGAAATTGGGAAGACCAAGTAGCTCCACGGCTTGTCAGTGCTGTGGCAGTTTTGTCTTGCTTCCCCTCAAATTCCAGAAGCGTCCTGAACTGGTGGTATGGCTGTCTTAGTGCCCACAACAACTCCCAGGAGCTCTAAGACAAGTTACCAATTGTTTGGGGATTTTTCCCACCCATTGCTTATGCCCACCACCTGGCTGTCCATTTGTTCTATTGTGGTGACTTGCATGTGCTATGATGCTGGAAGCTGTGCTGCTGGCATTTCATATACCAGCCGGCTCACCCATGGCAGACAGGTTTCAGCAGAACTTCCAGATTAAGACAGACTAGGAAGAAAGTCCTGGCAATCCACATCTAAAACCAGCCAATGACAAGCCTGTGGGCTACAATAGAACACTCTCTGATGGAGTGCTGGAAGACAAGCTATGTAGGCTGGGGAGTACACCGTGGACACAACAATGGGTTCAGTAATACCGAGGACCACAAAGATGGCGCCGGACTGGCTGATGTTTTGTTCTGTTCATTGTGTTCCTCTGTGTGTCCTTCTCTGAGCCCCTTATCCTGCTACATATGGCCAAATCTGACTCATAGAGAGCCTGTATTGGGTTTTGGAGAGCAGCTGGTGGGTTTGAACCATCAGCCTACAGTAAGCAGTCCAGTGCTTATCCTACGGCATCACACCAGGGCATATTATCTTTCAATTCCATTTTTCCAAGGACTCCTTGAAGCCCCCTCTTATACGTGTGTATGCATGTGAGTGTGTGTACATATATGTATGTATACAAGGGTAGGTCAAAAAGTATTACTACAAAACCCTAGAAACCTTTATTAGACAAAAATATCAAAATGTGAAGTTATTGTTTCTCAACATGTTCTCCATTTAGGTCTATATACTTCCGAAGGCACTAGTGGTATAGTGGGATGTGCATTGGGTTGCTAACCCAAAGGTCAACAGTTCAAACTCACCAGCTGCTCCATGGAGAACGATGAGGCTGCTCTGCCCCCATGAAGATCTAGTCTTAGAAACCCAAAGGGCAGCGTACTCTTGCCATACAGGATAGGGTCATTGTGAGTTAGGAGTTGGAATCAACCCTTTCCCAGTGAATTCTGAGCTCCTTGAGAATACAACATTGGCACCCTCAAGGGACTCAAATGGTGTTCCTTTTCAGTGTTCTTTGAATTTGGGGAACAAAATGAAGTCTGAAGGGACAGGATCAGATGGGGTACGGCTTCCCAAGGAAATTTCTATTGGATGCCTTTGCTACCCTTGAGGAATGAGCAGATGCCTTGTCATGATGATGGGAAAAACAAAAAACCTCAGCACGACTTTCCTGGCCTTCCCGCGCTCAACCCCCCCCCCCCCCCCGTAGTTTTTTTTCTGTTTTCTTGAAACTTCTTCACAATAATCTCCACGCTCATCCTGTGTCCTCTGAAAAGACTCTATCAAGATGACCTCTTGGGAATGCCAAAAAACAGTCACTATAACCTTCTGAGCTGACTTTTTTTCCTTGAATTTAACTGGCCCTGCAGATTCCCCTATTTGGAATGGACAAGTATACCACTGAGTGAACTTGTCTGCAGCCAACTACTGATTTTTAAACACATTTTGTTTGGAATAAACCCACACAAGTATGAACTGGCACCCTGGTAAGAAGGCCTTTTTACTTACCCTTATACTGTGTATATATAGAGAGAGTGTGTGTGTACACATACACACATCCTATGTATAGATAAATAGTGTAAAAGGAAATATTTGTGTTGGCATGACTCTGGGTGATTTTTCCTCATTTTTATTTGTTTTTAATTTTTTTCTTTAATGAAAATAATTCTAAAATAAACAAAACTGAGCGAATTCTTCCGGAACATCAGCCATGTCAGCCAGAAAGAGATACAGGGTGGAGAAATGAAATCCAACTAATAATAATGTAAGAAATTGGGAGGACTTTCTTACTCTTATGTTCCCTGGAAGCAGTCTGCAAGTCCTAGATCCCACAGGACAGTTGCCCTCCACCCTGTTTCTCAGAGCCCTTCCCTTATATTCACAACCACTTATGAATGAAGTAGGTGCTAGTCTCTTGATCCTGTTTTGAAAATGAGGAAACTGAGGCTGGGAGAAACTCGGTAACTAGCCAAAGTCAACAGTGAGTGAGGGCTGGAGCCGGTCACTCCCGTTTCCACCCAAGCCACAGGGTCCTCCCACTGCCTTCCTAATGCCTGCTGGTCCATCCCCCAATCTCCCCAGGGATGGAGTTCGTGGTACCCAGGACTGGGTTCTATTGCAAGCTGTGTGGGCTGTTCTACACGAGTGAGGAGATGGCGAAGATGAGTCACTGCCGCAGTGCTGTTCACTACAGGAACTTACAGGTAACAGACTCCTTGCCTAGGACCCCAGGTGGCTCCCCAGCCTCCATGCTCAAACCAGGTTTCAGGCTCCCTGGAAGCCCTAGTCCTGCTTGCCTCTGTTTCTGCTCCCATTTTCAAGACCTAGGCTACTTGCCATTCCCCAAGCAGCCCATTCCTCTCTCTGCTTCTGTGAGTTTCCATCTCCTTCCACTGCACAGAGTCACTCACCAGGCTGCTCCTCCCAGTAGTTCTTAGAGCATCGTCTCTATGTTACCAATGAGAGCTTTCTATTCTATTTGAGTATTTGTTTTGTTTGCTTGTTTTTATCTCTGCCTCCCCTTCTAGCCTGAGAGTAGGGCTAGTGTTCACCTGGCCAGTGATTGGGTTAAAGTGGGGAGGGACCCTCTCCAAAAGACCTGGTTCTTCTGAATGCAGATATTGTCCATGTTTCTGTTGCCCTGTTTACTGGAATAAAGCCCACACTTAGGTTCCATGTAATTGTTCATTCACTCAGCAAATATTCATCACAGGCATACTCTATACTAGACACTGTTCTAGACACTGGGGGTACAACAGTGAAAAACACAGACAAAAGTCCCTGTCCTCATGGAGTTTTCATTCTAGCTCAGGGGACACACAATAAATAAATCAACAACCCGAGGATTGAAAAGTAACATATTAAAAATGCCCTGCCTACCATGTTTTTTCTAATCTAAACCACCATCAGTTATGTTGTTGTTATTGTTAGGTGCCATCGAGTCTGTACCGACTCATAGTGCTCCTGTGCACAACAGAAATAAGATACAACAGTTATAAGATATAATAGTATTTTTTACCTCCTCCTAAATGTTGCAAATTGAACAGTGATGCGAATCAGGCTGCTAACCTCAAGGTTGGCAGTTTGCAACTACCAGCTGTTCCATGGGAGAAAGATGAGGCTTTCTGCTCCTGTAAAGATTTACAGCGTTGGAAACCCTGTTGCAGGGTCACTATGAGTCAGAACTGACTCCATGGTACTTAACAACAACAACAACACCGTTGACTGTAAAACACATCTCTATTTTAGAGCTGTTAATGAGTTTAATATGGTACTACAGGTTAGAGTTGTTGTTGTTGTTGTTGTTAAGTGCCATCTAGTCGGAGTCAGTTCCCACAGGTTAGAGTACTAGACTGCAAAGTCAGTTTGAATCACAAGATCAGTGGTTCAAGCTCACCAGCTGTTCCTCGGAAACCTTAAGCCACCATGGGTCAGAACTGACTTGATGGCACTTAACAATGAGTTTAATGAGTGAGACTTTTTTTTATTTAAGTGTCTTAGACTAAATGAAATGTGGTGATATATTTTCTAATAGATGAGGGAGCTTCAAAAAGTTCATGGAAAAATGGGAATTAAAAGGTAATTGAATTTTGCATGAACTTTTCAAAGCCCTCCTTAAGATACCTAGCTAATATCCACTAGAATGTGGTTTTCATAATTAATCTCTGGTAAGGAGCTCTGGTAACGTAGTGGTTACGAATCGGGCTGCGAACCTTAAGGTCAGCGGTTCGAAACTACCAGCCGCTCCGCGGGAGAAAGAGGAGGCTTTCTACTCCCGTAAAGATTTACACCCTCGGAAACCCTGTACAGGGTCGCTATGGGTCGGAACCGACTCGACGGCACTTAACAACAACAATACACTGTTGTTGTTGTAGTTACATTTCTTCGGGTCAGTTCTGACTCATAGCGGCGACCCAGTATAGCATTTCCAAGGAGTGGCTGATGGGTTTGGATCACTCACCTTGCTGTTAGCAGTCCAGTGCTTATCCTACAGTGCCACAGATAGGCTAGCATTTAGTCATTTAACAAAATGCACACTATTTCAGAGTCTCACAGGTAAAATATCTGAATACATCGATAGCATCAGAATCGTTTGACCTCAACTTGGGAAGCCCACAGTGGTGGCCAATTCTGTCTGAACTTCAGTTAGTCATTACTGCTAAGACCACTGGGTCTTTGAATTGCCTCAGAGAAAAAGAGCTACTGCAGGGTCTCTTCCAATTTTTTAAAAGAACATTTTTTTTTTCTTGTGAATTGAGTGAAGGTTTACAGATAAGATCATCAGCTTTACATTCAACAAATTGCACTCTTTGTTTCATCTCAGTGATTACAATCCCCTTCCTTCAACAATTTATCCTACATCTTATGTTTCACAAATGAACAAGGCAAAAATATTTGATGTACACATACAAAACAAAAATATTTATTCGTGTAAATGTCCCAAGGGCACATTCTGCCAGCTAGTGTCCTACCCACAGACACCCACCCTTATTCAGTCCATGGGCCTAGAGCTTACAGCTGCTCTGTCTCTGCATGCCGTCATCTCTGCCACCATCTCTGCTGTCACTGATTTTATAGGTAGTATCTCACGCTCCACTCATGCTCTTCCTTCTTGATGATCGTGAGATCCTCTGTTCCTGAAATGAGTAACTACCCTCCCCCCTTTTAATTACATATCTTCTACAATTACAGTTGTGACAATCACAATTAATCCTACTAACAAATGAATTATAGAATCCTATCTCAACATCCTCCATCCCTTTTCACCAGCTCTATCTGGAAGAGAAGAAAACTATTCATTGGGGATTTTACCTTACCCTGGTTCCGAGATTCTCAACCAGGGATGTTTTTCAAAATTATCTACTAGGTCAGATTCAGTAGGATGGGGCCCTGGAATATATAATTTGGGAAAGTTCTCAAAACTATCTGAATTAATAACTCTTAGTTAAGACACCCAGATGTGGACCGACTCCCACACTTTACAATGGAGGAAACTGAATCCCAGAAAAGGTACAGTGTGTGCCAGGCCATGCAGTGAGTGAGTTAGTTACTGGACCTGGGACTAGATAGATCACCTGATTCCTCATCATTTTCACTCTCTTAAACTGCCCTGCAAAATGAGACCTGCAATTATGGCCTGGATTACCATCTGCGAGGGCCTGTCACTGACTATGACGTAACCCAGGTCAGTTAAGCCTCTTGATTTCCCTCCAGAGAAAAAAACACTCTGTGACCAAGGCTGACCTCGCCTGGGGGAGGGCAGTGAGAGTCTGACTTGGCCACAAAATAGTTGTCTGCCCTGAAGACAACTTCACCCACACTTATGTACCCACCAGCTATCTGCCCCACCACCACTCCCACCTTACCACCACCACCCCCTCCACTCTCTACTCCTAGGATGAACCCAGAGAACGGCAGGGCTGGAAGGGGTCTTAGAGATCCAGTTCAAATTGGACTCCACAGAGTCAGCTGATGGCAGTTGCCAACCCTGCTCTCTCTCTCTCTCTCTCTCTCTCTCTCTTTCTCACACATACACACACACACACACACATACACACACACACACCAGGATGAGCCCATGGAATCTCAGGGCTGGAAGGAGTCTTGGAGATCATCTGCTTCAAGTTTTCCTAAACCTTGGTCCTCATGCCAGCTGGTGTCCTTTTAAGCAGCTTCCTGGGCCTCATCCTATTCATACATTCTCTCTAGGGCTGCGTCTGGGGATCTGCATTTTTAAACAAGTATTCTAGTTGATTCTGATAACCTCAGTGTGAGAACCTTTTATCTCATCCCATATTCTTACCTGATTTCCCAGGAGATCACACAAAGTCATCCAGGGAGTTAGGAAGAAGCAGAACTTGCCAGGGCCTCGTAACTCCAAATTCAGTGTTGCCCCCCAGGGCAATGGGCTGCTCCGTGCTCTTGGCCAGGCCTCCAGGCAGACTTACCTTCTACCCCCAGCAGACTTCTCAAATGCAGACCCTCTGCTGGCCAGACCCAGTTCTGGTTTTCCAAGCACACCTGTTGGGGAGCTGGAGCCTCTACCACAAGCTTCCCAGATAGGGTTTCTGTCAGTGGCCTTGACAGAATGCCTCTGTCCCACAGCCTTGCCCACCCCACCCCAAGTTGCTCGTGTGAAAAGTGAAGAATCTAGACTAGAGCAACAGGTGCTGGCTGATACCAAAGTCCGGCAACTGATAAACTTAGCACCCACTAGGAGGCCTTAGGGTAGGGTCAGGGGAGCCCCCATTGTCACTTCAAAACCCCTGTGTGCCCACTGCTGAGAGAACCTGCTCCAGACCTGAGAACAGCAGGTGACGCTAACAAGCCTGAGGCCTGCATGGCTCCGTTCCTGGAAAAGAACACACATGCCCCCAGCATGCTCACCCACTTTAAGACCTACCTCAGCCATATTTTCCCTCTACTGCGGGTGCAACTCTTAAGCACTTGCTGCTAACCAAAAGGTTGGTAGTTTGAACTCAGCTAGCTGCTCCTCTGGAGAAAGGCCTGGCGAACTGCTTCTGTTAAGATTGTTGTTTTTGTGAAATGCTATTGAGTCGATTCTGACCACTATGAGTCAGAACCGACTCCACAGCACATAACAACAACAATAATAGGGTTTCCGAGGAGTGGCTGGTGAGCTTGAACCGCTGACCTTGCAGTTCAAACCGCTTTGCAATCTAGTGCATTAACCCACAGCGCCACACCAGATTACAACCATGAAAACCCAACAGGGCAGTTTTGCTGTATGAGTCAGAACCAACTGGATGACACTCAACAAGAGGACTAGCAGTGAGCCTGAGGCACTGGAGAAACCCGGCCCCACTCTCTCCCTGCCATGCTGGACTCTGGCAGCCACACACAGGCTCTTTCCTAGAGCCCGCCAGTTGCCAGGGTCCATTGCCTTGGTGGACCCTCAGAATGCCCGGTCCTGCACCATCCTCACAACTGCCAGGTTTGAGCCCACTGTTGCTGCCACTTTGTCAGTCCATCTCACTGAGTGCATGTAGGTATTAAGGATGGTGTGTTTAATAGAAAAGGACAGAGGGGACTCGGTCTAACCAGTGAGAAGTACGAGGCTGGGAGTGGTTGACTGAACTTCTCAAAATCATGACTGGTAACACTGATGATAATGGCTAACTTAAAAACCAGTTTCAAAAAAAAAGAAAAAAAAAAAAGCTGTTTCCGTCAAGTCAACTCTGACTCATCTGACTCATGACAACCCCATGAGTGTCAGAACAGACCTGTGCACCACAGGGTTTTCAGTGGCTGAGTTTATTTTTATTTTTATTTTTTTTTGGTAGTAGAACTAGATCACCAGGTCTTTCTTCTGAGGTACCTCTGAGTGGACTTGAACTACCAACCTTTCAGTTAGCCACCAAGTGCTGTTTAACTGTTTGCACTATCCAGGGACTCTGAGTGTTGTGTGTGTGTGCCAGGCATTGTGCTAAATGCTTTAAGCTTTACTTCTGATTTTAGAGTTATGGTAACCTTATGCAGTTGTTGTTGTGACGTGCCATGGAGTCGAATCCAACTCATAGCAACCCTGTATAGAGTTTCAAGATGCTGCTGCTAAGTTTGAACTGCCGACCTTGAGCTCCATATTAGGACTGTACTTTATGCCTTTACAGAGATGTGGGATAATTTGCCTGGTCAGAGCTAAGATTTGAACCCAAGTTGTCTGACAACAAAGCCTGTACACTTAATCACTGCCATGGACCTAGACCACTCTGACTCCTAATCCAGTGCTCTTTGCATTATGCATTCCTGTCCTGGCACAGAAGACCCAAGTTGGGGCCCGCCCGCTTCCTGGTCTGTCTCACTGCACCAAGAGCAGCCACCTGGACAGGTGCCCAGTGCTTGCTTCACAGCTACTTATAGCAGGGAGTTTTCAGGGGTGGCGTGGAGGCAGCCCCTAACCATAGAAATAGGCACATTAAAAAAAAAAAAGGGGGCAGGACCTCCAAAGTACTCAATCTGGGAGCCTGCCCTGGCAGGAAGCAGGTTGTTAAAAGTCTCAGATGTCAGACTGTGGTTTCTTCTTTCACAATTACTGTAGGACAGTCCTCTCTCCTTCCACCCTCCCTCTCTAGGAGCAGACACCCTGCCTAGAGACCCGGTCTCTTTTTGGAGTTGTGAGGGCTAGATGCATGTATATAAATAAGGCAGCTAGAACAGCATTTGACACAGATAAGGGTTATGGGAGTGTTTGCTATCTGTATCTGTACTTTCTACTTTTTCTGAATGTACTGCTTGAAGGAGGAAGCATGTTGTTTAGTATGGAGCCTGCAGCTCCAGATTGGGGTGTAGGGGGGTTCCACCAGACATAGATGATAGGAAAGGGAGGCCAGGCCCAGCCCTGTTTTCTCCTCTTGAGCCTGGTCACTACTGATCTTGTTCCCGCCCCTTTTCCTCTCTTCCCACCACAGAAGTACTTGTCCCAGCTGGCTGAGGAGGGCCTGAAGGAGGCGGAGGGGGCAGGCAGCCCCAGGCCTGAGGACAGTGGAATCGTGCCCAACTTTGAGAGGAAGAAGTTCTGAAGCCCTGCTGAGCTGCTGGAAGGTGGGAGGGAGGGCCTGCTGAGGTGGGCTTTCCAGGTCTCCCTCTAGGAAAGGAACTAAATACAGGAAGGCAGCAGAACAAAGGAAGGGCACATTGCTGGGTTTGTTCTCTGAGACTCATTAAAACGTCCCTCCAGTGTCTCCAGGGGCTGGGTCATCCTGGTGGGTCACCGTGGTGTGTCCAGCCCACTGAGGACCACCAGCTGCCTCCCTTCTCCCACACAAGCTTTCAGTGAACGTTTCTCTCTTCTTCCTCCTCCTTCCCTCTCTCCCTCCTTTTATACCAAGGGTCATTTCCTTTTCATAAAATCCAACTTCTCAGGGATTTTCACAGTCTTCAAATTCTTGATAAGATATTAACAGATCCGTCTAGATGGATCCAAGGAAAAGATTCAACAGAAACTCCTGAATAAAGAGAGCCCATGATGTGTGGTGGTTTCACCCCCCTGCTGTCTGGGAGAGGGGACACCAGAAGTAATCAGTTCAAAAGTGAGCCCCTTCCTACAGCGGAGCCATCACTGAGAAAAGGCCCTTGTGGTGAATAACTTGTTCATCTGCTCAGTGATTTTAGAAGGCCACCAGATTCATGCTTTAAAATACAATTAAATGAATTTTGGAGGAGAGGGAAAAGAACCTTTCATTTGGAAGCTCTGATAAGTTCCCCTCAAACTAGTGTCCCCACATTGATTTCAGGAAATGTGAGGGCTGGTTCTGTTCTGGGCCATGAATGTGGTATGTTGTTGTTATTGTTGCAAAGTGCCGTTGAGTTGGTTCCAACCCATAGCAACCCTGTATAAGGTTTCCAAGCAGCAGCTGGTGAGCTTGAACCACCAACCTTGCAATTCAAACTGCTTTGCAGTCTGGCACATTAACCCACAGTGCCACACCAGGACTCCTGAATGTGGTATTGAGCCACTTAAATGAAAACAGAAGCAGCCGTGTTCTCTCCCTGCAACTAAAACAGCAGTTGGTATGGGCTTTGGTGAGAATCGGATGTTGGCCTCTCTGTTAAGGCGTGACATTGGCTCAAGAAAAATAAAAACCAGGAAATGGCCTCTGACCTTGACTCACCCTTGGTGCCTGTAGGATGGGGAACCTTGCTATGATGGAAGGACTGGGAGCTGAGGAGAGAGAAAGCTGCTGCGGGACTGAAGAGCAGCACTGACAACTAGCAGGCTCCTCAAGGGGCCACCCCTTGTGCGAACTTTGATGTCAAAGTGTTATAAAGGTCAGGCCTTTTATTCCCAGCCTGCTTCTGCTAGGAGAGGCCAGTGCCTTCAGGCCCCAACGGACAACAGGTCTAGTCTGTTTGGGGATTTAGGTACTTGGGAAATGAGACCAGCCTTTGTGGGAGACTTCAGGAAAGTCAGCAGGGAGCAGGTGCTGTTTTCACAGTAAGATACTCCCCCCCCCGTGAAAAACAAACCCAGGAAGACTTGTCCCTCCCACCCTGAGTGGTTCCTCTTGTTGTCTCTGTTTCTGGCCACTGGCAGGTACACTGGGAAAGGATTGTTTCAGTTTAGTTTAAATTTTCCTCCTTCTGGTGGGCAAATTCTCCAAATTAATGGCAAAAGAGTAAAAACATTATCTAGCTCAAAATGGATGTTTTATCAGTGAGGAAATGGAGGCACAGAAAGGCAAGAGGTGTGGACCGTAGAAGGATCATGTGGAAACCTTGAGGCAGATGGTGGCCAGCAAGGAGAATATTACTGAGAAGCTGTGAGAGAGGAGAGTTAAGGCAGGTGCTACAGGGAAGGAAACCAGTCTGGACATGTGTGAGGAGAGGCTGGAAGAAGCAGAAAACTTGAACTCATCATCAGGTGATTTGGGGACCTCAAAAAGATTGGTAACTCAAACAGAATCAAGTCTGAAGCCTGTGGCTCAGTCCAGACCTGTCCCTGGCCAACTCCACAGGTTTTAACCCAGCATCTGGGCTCGAGTTTCTCAGAAAACCTTTGAACCCCATGTGTCTGTCTTCCCACTGGAGAGAAGTCTGGGAGCAACTCTGCTCTCCTCACCGAACCTTGCCTAGAAAAGCCTCAGAGGCTAAAACTGGGCATTTTCAGACAGGCTGGCAGCCTCATGGCCCTACAGCAAATTGGGAGCTGACCTCCTCAGCTCATCCCCCCAGCCCCAGCGTTTCCATGGAAATCCCAACAGCCTTTCAAACAGCTGCCTTCAAACAGCTGTCTCCCTTGTTGGAGACAGACATTCTCCATACTGGAAACCTGGAGCAAGCCCGTGGGAGGAAGAGGAGACAGGCTTGGTCTGCTTCCAATCAAAATCTTGAGTTGTAAAAGCATCACTACTTTTGTGTGTACATATATATATTTATTTATTTATTTTTATACAATTCCATTGGCATGGTCCTTCAACGACTATAAAATTTGCACTTTTTATTCCTCTGCGTCACACACAATGCAGTATTAAGGGCAATGTGGAAAATACTGATTTTTTTTTTTTAAGCTTTTCTTCAGTGTTTGTCAACCATTTCAAAGCGTCTCTTCCAAAAGGTTACTCTGAGCAATTGCACCCTTGAGCAACAGATTCGTTTGAACCCTGGGTTAATATAACAGAAAGCCTGTGTAGTTTTTTCTGTTTTGTAAACAATTGAAATAAAGTATGTTGCAGTATTCCCAAAGAATTTGGTAAACTTGATGTTGGTGTGAGCAGCAGCCACTAGTATTTTGGACAGTGTGAGGCTGTCTACTAGAGTATACTTGAACTGGACCAGAGTTTATTTTGATTTTTATGAGAAAACAAAACATTAGATCATTTAACTTTGAGCTTGTAAAGTATTGAAATTTTGTTGAGTGTCCTATAAATTGTCACTTTTCTTGATCTGCATAATTGACCGCCAAGTGTTTGTTTTTACAAAAGGAAAATAAAAAGATTTTTAATAAAGAGAATTTGAAAGCTTTTGTGAGTCGCAGTGTGTCATGTAGGGAGTTGGCTGGGGGATGTCACTGAAGACAGTGGTTGGGATTTGGTACTTCTCTGAATCTAGATGTTTCTAAAGGGTGTAACAGTGAGGACAAGTCATCTGCTCTCAGCTTGGTTGGACCACCAGAGAGTAACAAAGATTCTCAGGGATGAACCTCTAGAAGGGTTGAGTCTGAAGGAAGTGGGGCGTTCCTGGACCTTCTGGTGACTCAGGCTAGAAAAATCACACGACTTCTTTAAAAACTCCTAACTTTGCACCTTAAGATTCAGTGGCAGGTTTCTTGCCTTCCATGTGAGAGACCTGTGTTCAGTTTCTCGCGAATTCACTTCATGTGCAGTTAGCACCTATCTGTCTTCCAAGTCTTGTGTGTTTGCTATGATGCTGAACAGGTATCAGGAGAACTTCCAGACTAAGAAGAAAAGCCTGGTGGTCTCCTTGCCAAAATCAGTCATTGAAAACCCCATGAATCACAGTGGTCCGATCTGCATCTGATCATGGGAATTGTGCAGACCTGGGCAGCCTTTCGTCCTCTTGTGCATGGTGTTGTCCCTACTTGATGGCAACACCAACAAGCCTTGCTACCTCGTGCTTACCAGTTTTCCTAGTAACTGAACTCAACTTGGCCTGCAGCAGGCCATTTCTGGTGGCTCTGTCCCCAAGATGAAGATGACGACCCGATGGTGAGGGCTGTGATGGAAAAACAGGACGCAAGCTGAGTTCTGACCCTGGCCCCTGTTCGCCCCACGACTTCCCAAGGCTCTATTTCCTTCAGGTAATGATATTAATCACCTCCCAGGACTGTTTCAAGGTTAAGGTCATTGCAGGTGAAAGCTCTTGGTCTGCTGCAAAGCACTGAATCTTGTTAGTTTTCATAATCCATGCTCTGGACAAAATCCTCCAAATTTCAATGACTCTTTAAGTCCCCTGTCAAGCATTTCTTGTACCAAAACAAGGCCCGGGTCCCATCTGCTGGACCCAATGGCTTGGTCCTTTGAGTGGAATGTAAACCTTTGAATCCTTCCTTCTTGTTGGCAATGCTCCTGAGTCAGTGAGGAGGGGCAGGGCTGTCTGGATCCAGAGGGCAAAGCGAGTGGGGTGGCCTGTAATTACTCAGAACATATCACAGATCTGAAGAAAGGTCCTGTTGAGCCTGTTGCTGCTGCTCCCTCCCTCCCTGACCTATTGGGCTGAGCTGGGAAACATCCTTCCCTGCACTGCTGGCTGCACTCTAGTTGGCCACAGCCACGAACAAGCCTAGAGTGGTCCTGCTGACCTTCAGGATCCAGGATGCCTGGGGACCCCTGGTGCCTACTCCTGCATGTTTCTCTGCACTGCACAACCCAGGGACACCGCCATACGCACTGCATCTTAGAGGCTGGCACCTCTTGGAGTCGTGCAATGCAGTCATGTGCCAGGAGCCCCCTGAGTGAAGCGGTCTGCCCAAACCTGGCTGTCTGCCCTGTTTTCATTTGTTCTCTGATGTCCCTGTAGGACTTAGAGTCTGATTCTGAGCAGGTTCCCTGACATTCAAACCCTAACACACAGTGTCCACTTTCTCCCCACGGATCAACTCCAGGCTGCCTCTGTCTTTACTGCCCTGCCTAGACATTGGTATTTTCAATCTCCCACTAGGCTAGACCACAAGGATACTGGATTGGGCCCTACCTGGCCTGACACTTCTGTGCCCCTCTGAATATCAATAGCAACTTTGTCTACTCAAACTAGTGGAACACCTGGGCTCATTCTCACCCACTCCCAGTTGTCCTTCCCCATTATGCTGCCCTACAAAGGAGGCTGCCCCATGGTTTTCAAACTATGTTAGTGTAGGAAAGGCCCAGAGACCTCCAAATCCAGGCCTGTGCTCTTGCAGGTGAGAAAACCAAGGCCCAGAGAAGGGAAATGACTTGCCTACGGCCATACAGCTTAATAGTATAAGGTGAAGAAAACTAGGTAGATTATGGTCCTGCTGGAGACACAGGAATTTAGGTTCTTTCATCTGCATTTTCAAGGAGCTCTGGTAGCGTAGTGGTTACGA